GTAGTTTGAGGCACTGAAGGAGGCTTAGCTCTGTTTTTTTTCTTTGGAATCTCAGCAGATTGTTCAGACTATGAGGAGAACTGTCACCGGAGAATTTAGAGGGCAGGGAAAGAGAAATTGTACTTCTCATCACCCAGAGTTTTTAGCATCATCACATTATTTGGCTGGTCCCACAAGCCCTCCTCTGAGCTCCCACGAAACATCCTGTGGCCAGTTGGTGACCTATTTTAAGAACCAGTATTTGGATGCTAAAATAGGTCTGAAAATCCTCTGTTTACCTTTCTTAGGGCTTAGCTGTATCATTCCTCAGCTGCCATCGAGTATGGCTGACATTTTCAAATAACTACATGCAGTGATTGCTGTAAACATTGTCACATGTTGGTCATTTCCAAGCAAAATCAAACCAAATGGCTCAGAAGCAATGTGAAGACTCTTAATCTTAAAATCCTGATCATTTTGACTTAGAATTTAAGGAATATTTTAAAACCAAACAAACAAGAAAAACATTTTATTTGGAACAATTTCAGATTTACAGACGTGTAAGAATAGTACATAGAACACCTATGTACCCTTTCCCCAGATTCACCTATTGTTAACATTTTTTCCCATTTGCTCTGTCATTTGCAGTCATTCACTTTTGTACTTTCTCATGCTCACACGGGTGCCTGTTTGCATGCACACACTCACTCACACATTTTTTTTTTTTCCTGAACCATTTGAGAACACATTACATATGTCCATGACCCTTTACTCCTATTTACTTCAATGTGTATTTCCTAAAATGAGGACATTCCCTTACATGACCATGATATAGATGTTGTTTTTATTGTTGTTGTTGGTAAGTGCCATTGAGTTGGTTCTCACTCATAGAGAGCCTCTATAGGGTTTCCCAGGAGCGCCTGGTGGGTTTGACTTGGTACAGTGCTTCAATCTACCGTCCATATTACACTTTTGTCAATTAACCCTTGTTTTTCATTCCTTCAGTGCAGATTAATGTTTTGACCTAGATTCAAATTTTTAACCCAAGGAATATTGAGTGAATCATTGTCAAATTGGGAGGGAGATGCCTGGTACCATTCACAAGGCTGCACTTTACTTACTGTTGTACATTTTTATTGATAATTTGGATGAAAACATTAACACATATACCTAACAAATATGTAGATGACAAAGCTGTGAGGGATAGCTAGTATGATGATGCTGAAGATTCAGAGCTAATGAGAATAACATTTATTGATACCGAACAAAAGTCCATTGATTGCTACAGTCAAGTTCATGGGAGTGGAAGAGGAGAGGTGGTCAAGAAATGCTCATTACTTTATTGAAGTAGCAGCGCCATCATGTGGTCCTATAGAATGTTGCCTCTCAAATCTTAAAGCAACAAGCATTTTTCCTCATATACTTTGTCAAATAATGTAGGTCAGGTTCCTTTAAAAAAAGAAAATGCTCAGGGCCATATGACACTAAAATGATTTCTATTGAAATCTTTCTTAATTACAGACAAGTAGGTAATTCTGTATAATGGTGGTTGTCCAGTTCATCAAGTCAATACTGACTCGTAACGACCTTGTATAGGGTTTCTGAGGAGCAGCTGGCAGGTTTGAACCACTAACCTTGCAATTAGCAATCCAGTGCTTATCCTGCATCCCCACACCAGGACCCTCTCTATACACATAGGTCTCTTTAGCGCCTAGCATCCTCTGATTTATATAAAAACAAAACAAAATCAGCTTCCAGCATCGATTCTGACTCATGTGTATCAGAGGGGTTTTCAGTGGCTGAGTTTTTGCAAATAGATCACCAGATCTTTCTTTTAAGGTCCCTCTGGGTGGGCTTGAACCTCCAGCCTTTCAGTTAGAAGCTAAGTGCTTAACTGTTTGTACCACCAAAGGACTCCATGGTTTATGCAGGTTTGGTTCCAGACCACCACAGTAAAGCTAATGTCACAATAAAGCAGGTCCTACAGATTTTTTGGCTTCCTAGTGCATAGAAAAGTTAGGTCTGGTATGGCACTGTGGGATAAGCACTGAACCACAAGGTCAGTTTAAACCCTGTAGGTTGCTAGAGTCTGAACTTGACGACAATAGTCTATTTCAGGAGCCCTAGTGAGCCAGTTTATCAGATAAGCACTAAACTGCTAACTGCAAAGTCTCTGTTCAAATCCTCCAGCTGATCCTGTGAATAAAGATTTGCAGCCACAGAAACCGTATGAGTTCTAAATTGACTGGCTGGCAGTGGGGTTTCATTTTGGTTTCTGTAAGTGCTGTTGAGTTGGTTCTGACTCACAGCAACCCTATATAGGGTTTATGTGACTTTTTTTCAATCTTTGCTGAAGCAGAAAGCCTCATCTTTCTCCCAAGGAATGGCTGGTGGGTTTGAACCACTAAACTTGTAGATTTCAGTCCTGTGCTTATCATATGGAGCCACCCTGCAATAGCAATATAAAAATTGAAATATTGTGATAATTACCATACTATGAAAAAAAAAAAAAAAAGCACATGCTGTTGGAGAAATTGTGCCCGTAGACTTGCTGAATGCAATTTGTTATAATCATTCAGTTTGTAAAAACGCATTGTTTGTAACGTGTAATAAAACAAGGTATGCCTGTGTAGCAACTCGCCATACAGTGCAAACCAATACTGGAAATGCAGTAAGGCATAGAGTCAGTTTCAGTCTGTGAAAAATGCGGTGTCTGAAGCACAGTAAAGCGAAGTATGATGAAACGAGGTCTGCCTGCATTCAGTAAGTATTTGGATATGTGTACTCTTTGAATTACACAATGTTGTTTCCTTTATCAACTAAATTTGAGTTTGAGAGCCTTTGGTTTACATTAGTCCTTTCTTTTGAAAGTGTAGAATATGAATAAGAACCTTATTTGGAATGGTGATGGCTCCAAATGGGGAAATGGCTACTGCAAACTGTTTTGAGAATTGCATTGTATCCCAACAATCTTCTCAGCTATACTAGGTCCACTGTGAAAGCAGATGTTAACATTCATATTTGTTTGCAACAGATTTTTTCTCTCAACTTTAATCTCAAACATACAGAAAAGTGGAATCAGCTTTACAGTGAACCTTCGCATGTCTCCCACTGAGATTTAACAAGACAGACTTTAAATGAAATTGCTTTCTTTAAACTGACTTTGAGGATGGAGGCTGGCAGGGAGCGCAGAGCAAATTGCTATCATTGAAGCTTCTTACAGTGAAAATAGCCGACCACAGAGCTTAACACTGTTGAGTGTAGAGTGTGGGTTGGCTGTCTAGCATCTCCACTTGATGAGTGAACTCTTCAGCCACTCGTTGAGGACTAGGGTGCCAGGTGCCTGACGAGTGCAGAGGGACAGCTGCCTGGTCAAGTGACTGCAGGACCCTGGGCTAACTCTGATTCCAGAGGCTGCTGCTGGCTTCCTCATCCATTTCCAAAGCCTGTACAAAGCAGACACCAAAAATTCTGTCAGCCCCGTATCCAGAAGTTTTGCTCATGAATGTGTAGGATTCTCATGGGAGGTCTCAAGCAAAGCTTGGAAGAACTCTCTAGACTTAGAGTTTCTATATACAGGCACACTTCCCACTAATGCACCTCACAATTTTGTACTTTTTGCAAATTGATGGTTTGTGACAACCCTGAGCAAGTCTACTGAACCATTTTCCAATAGTTTGTGCTTACTTCATGTCTCTGTGTCACATTTTGGCAAATTGTCATAGTATTTCAAATTTTCTATAATGCTCCTATACGCTTAATAGACTGTACCAGAGTCAGGCTGCTAACCTCAAGGTCAGCAGTTCAAAACTACCAGCCATTCCGTAGGAGAAAGATGAGGCTTTCTGCACCTGTAAAGATTTACAGCCTCGGAAACCCTGTACAGGGTCACTGTGAGTCAGAACTGACTCCAAGGCACGTAACCACAACAGCCACCAGAACAAACCAGCAGCAAACCCACTGCAGCTGAGTCAGTTCTGGCTCCTAGAAACCCGATGGGACAGAGTAGAACTGCTCCGTAGGATTTCTAAAACTGGAGTCCTGGTGTAGTGTGATAGAGTAAGCACTGAACCACGGAAACCCTATACGGGCTCAATGAGTTGGAAACGACACAGTGGCACTTTGACAACAACAATAAATCTTTAGAGAAACATCTATCTTCTATGGAAAAGCTGGTGAGTTCAAGCCACTGGCCTTTTGGTTAGCAGATCAACACCTAGCCCATGGCACCACCAGGGTTCCTTAATAGACTATAATGTAAACATAACTTTTAAATATGTTTACACTGTACTGGGAAACAAACAAATTCACATGAATCATTGTATGACAACATTTGCTTATTGTTGTAGTCTGAAACCGAATCCACAGGATCTCCGAGATATGCCTGTATACACATCTTTCTGGACACACAGCTCAACTGTCTGTGTCTGTAAAGGATGGAAGTTGCAACCTGAAAGAAGATGTTCTGATACACAAGCAGTAGCTTCAAGTTCATCTATACCTCATCCTGTAACTAGAGGTCTGGGGAGATTGTATCCTAGAAAGACAGGCATACTATACTGTGTTTTCAGATTGAAATTAAAGTAGAAGAATTGTATCAATGTATAATACATCATTTTAAGGTATAAAGGGCTATCTCTAGTTAACCCCAATCACTGGTAAGCTGAAATCCATTCCTCTCTTGAAAATGTAAGGTTAGTTGACATAGGTTCTTTGAAGTCCCACTGCTAGGAGTCCTGGATTTATAGCAGATTCTATGGGGTAGAAATGAATAGATACAACCTTCTGCTGTACAATGCCAATGTTCCATCGGAATAAACCTGTTAAACACAGAGAGAGAGCAGTACTGCTCGGAATCATTTAGCTCATCTCAACGTAATTGCATATTCTGTTTATGAGCCATAAGCAACTTTATGTGTTGAAAAAGGCTACCTCACTTGGTCTCCTTTGTGCATTTGAACTTTATGTGGGCTTTTTGTTTGTTTGTTCTGTTGATGATGGTATTTCATCTTCTTCTTGAGGCTCTGGAGAAAAACCAGCAGTGGCTTGTGTATGATCAGCAGCGAGAAGTCTACGTAAAAGGACTTTTAGCAAAGATCTTTGAGTTGGAGCAGCAATCAGAAACAGCTGCTCAGTCACTCCTACAGCAGACAAAAAAGACTGAATCAGAAGGTATTGGTATAAAAATGTTCTTTTGAGATACGTCTGACATTTTCCCAACAGAGTGATTCATCAAATTTAGATTTTTATAGATGCATGTTAGAAAGTAAAGTAAGAGCAAATCTTCCAGCCTCCTTTATTTCCTATGCTTTCTGATAAAAGGCACAAGAAAACGGGCAATCTCTGGCAGCTTGGAGTCACATTATATTTCCCTCTTTCAGAGTCCTTCTAGAACTTTAGTTCCCCCAGAACTGACCTTTTCACCAGTCCTCCTATTGTCTGCTTCCCTAGCACAAATTCACATCACCCTCAGAAGGAAAAAGATGATGTAAGATGATTCTTTCAATGATTTGAATCTCACTGTGGAATCGGGATGACACATGTTACTTACTATGGATGCTATATTTTTGCCATGTGTATTGCACATTGATTTCAGTTGAGTTTCAGGCCAGCCTGTGATAGGTGGGGCAGGAAGGGTCATTATTCTGATATTACAGATTGGGAGGTAGGTTCAGCAAGTCCAGGGGAGGGGTTGAGCTCAGAAAAGAAGAAACACCCCCAGGCAAAGTTCTTGTTAAAAGGCTGACAGCCTTGGACTGAGCCTTGAAAGATGTAAAGAGCAAGCTAATGAAAGATTAACATTAGAATTATGGAAGAGCGTCACATTTGAATATTTAAAATGGTGCAAATGCTAAAAAGAAACTGTAAAGGGAGTGCAGATGGAGCCAGTTTAAAGCTGTTTAGCCCTATGGGAGCAGGATCACTACTGTAGTGACCGTCTATATTTACTACCAGTGTAAATAGATCTTGTTGTGGTTTTACTACCAGTGTAAATAGATCTTGTTGTGGTTTTACTACCAATGTAAATGGATCTTGTTGTGGCCTACATCTAAGTGTTTTTTCCTCTGATAGTTATCTCTCTCTTTAGTATGTGTGTTTATCAAAGTCGTATTATAAGCACTTATTGAAACCGTTATAGTACAGAAGGACCCTGTCCTTTGCCCAGTGCAACTGCTTTTAACATTACTGGTTTTAATTTTGGTAATTATTTTTGCATGTGTAATTAAAAGTTTTTATCTTTATTTTTTTTTTGACTTGCCTTCTTCAGACATGAGTGACTTTCCTTCCCCACAAGTTTGATTATTTTCAGTTCCTTTATTTGCTGATCTGTTCATTTCAAATAATGCACTTAAACTTTACTTTCTTGTTCCATTAAATATGCTCCCTGTCTCTTGTAAGCTAAGGAAATAATGTGTTCTTGTTTAGAGAAATGTTGCTTTTTTGATTCACTTTTCAGGAATATTATCTATTTTATAAAATGAGGCCCACCATAATGTTGTTTGTCATAGGTTACCATCAAGAAGAAAAGCAAAAATACTACAATCATCTCTTGGCTAATGCAAAAAAAGACCTTGAGGTTGAACGTCAAACCATAACCCAGTTAAGTTTTGAACTGAGTGAATTTCGAAGAAAATATGAAGAAACCCAAAAAGAAGTTCAAGATTTAAATCAATTGTTGTGTTCACAAAGAAAGGCAGATGTTCAACACCTGGAAGATGATAGGCATAAAATGGAGAAAATACAAAAGCTCAAGGAAGAGAATGATGTTGCTAGGGGGAAACTTGAAGAGGAGAAGAAGAGATCTGAAGAGCTCTTATCTCAGGTAAGCCTGAACAGAACCAGGATTTTAGGATTCAGAGTTTTTAGTGAGCACTTGCCCTGAGTCCGTCAGGCACTGTTTTATAGTCTCTTGGGATACAACAAGAATAAAACAAATCCTTGCTCTCATGGGAATTTATATTCTAGCATACAAACATAATAAGTATATAAATAAGTAAGCTATTGACAATAAAATCATGTAAAATGACAAAGAATTGGGGCCCAGTGGAGGCCTCTCTGACACCTGATCAGACTAAAGAACCAGCTGGGTGTATGATAAACTGTGGACGTTCTGTCAGGCAGAGGAATCAGCCTCGCAAAGTCTCTAAGGAAGGTGTGAGGGAGGGAGGTGTGAGAAAGACAGTGGAGATGTGAGCTAGAGAAAGCACTCAAGCCTGACTCCAGGCGAGGCCCTGATTGCGGTGGCAATATGCTCAAGTTCCTTGGCACGGCCCTTCCTGTGTACTCATTACACTCACAGCTTTATGCCGAGATGTCTAGTGACGTTGGGGTTATTAGACTTGAATATGGCTTTGATAGAAATGCATTCATTTATGCTCATCAGCATAAATAATGGAAAGAACATTATCTGGCCTCAAATCTAGGATTTGTGGCCAGTGGCAAATCACTCAGCCTCTCGGACACGAAGGCATGGTTTTCATCTGTCAAATTAAGAACATAACAGTCCGTCCTCCTTTTGCTCTGCTTCCCTGCAGTAGTTATTCATTCCAACTAAGAAGAAAGAAGATATTTTCTAGACAAATTCAAATTCACTCATTTGAATTTCACCTCTTCTTATCTGATGGAGTTGTTGAGAGGATGGAAATGAAAGAGCTGGGTAAATGTTAGCTAGCACTGCTATTACAGTAGCCATTCTGAAAGTCCTCCAAAAGTTGAGAGAGGGGAAAAATCCACTGCCATGTAACCTTTGCCTTCTCAGCCTTTTCTAGCCCTACTGCTGTTGCAGGCACAAGCTGTGATGTTTGGAGAAGGTTAAGCAGAGACCATTGATGAGTTTGCTCCAATTCTGCGGCCTAGGAACCAAGGCACTTCTGGCTTTGTTATCTTACTCAGAAATATCCATTGAGGTCAGAGCCTGCAGGAAAGTGGGTGTGCCACTACAGGGTTCAGAACTACTCCTTACTGAGTTTTTTCCTCGGGGAACTCTCAGCCAAGAGGGTGATGCCCACTGCGTCCATAGTTGGCAGTCTCACCCTTAGCTGGCAGGTGCTGTCCTCGTTAGAAATGTGCGACTTGTGATGTGAGCTCCTTCTGAGTGCCCAGTCACGTGACATGGTGGAACGTGACCGCATTGGCTCCCTTTACACCCTGCAGGTCCAGTTTCTGTACACGTCTCTGCTAAAGCAGCAAGAGGAACAAACAAAAGTGGCGCTATTGGAACAACAGGTACTCGTTAGGTTCGCTTCGAAATCTAGTCCAACCCTAATAAAATGGGCTTTTTTTTCATATGCACAGTATTCTATGGGGAACCACTTTGGAGAGTGTAGAAATGTTTTTAAAACCGTGTAACCAAAACCATTTAGAGACGATCTGTGTTAGCTAGATGTGCCCCTGCTATTGTCCTTGGGCTAACCCAAATTCCTGGAGAGTGAGAGAGTAGTTTTCTTGACAGATAAGATACTGGTTTTGGAAATTTTCACTTTTTCCTAACGGCTTCTACAGTTCCTACTTTTACCCAACAGGGGCTCCCTAACAGGGCTACCTTGTAATTTCAGTGAGAACTCAGAGAGAGACCATCTGTTCTCAGAATTTTGAGCTGAGATACGCAGTCTCTTCCCAACCAGTAAATAGCCATCTTTTCTTCTCCTCCCATGTCCCGAGAGTCGGGGGAGGACAAGACTGCAGCCTGCCTTTAAAGCTGCTTTCACTCATGGATCCGTTAAGCCATGGCCCTGCTTCTTGGATGAACCAAAGCCTCAACCTAAAGCATCTTCATTTATCACTCAGATGAATTCTTATTCTGATGGCACTGCAAATGTGCTAATAAAGCAATGCAGGCATCCAGTCAGGAAAACGAGCCGTGTTTACAGCTGTCATTGTCTTGTCCTGGGTGTTTTCCAGATGCAGGCATGTACTTTAGACTTCGAAAATGAAAAACTTGACCGTCAAAATATGCAGCACCAATTGCATGTCATTTTTAAGGAGCTCCGAAAAGCAAGAAATCAAATAACACAGTTGGAATCCTTGGTGAGTCTGAAATGGTTAAAAATAGGCCTTACTTTCTTCTCTATCTGCCGTCTTCCCATGTACGTGTCCAAATAGTTCCCAAACTATGAAAACAGCTTAAAGAACAGCTGTATTTCAAATCAGTAAGAACATCCCTTGTCTCATTTGCTCTGTGAGCATCATCAATTCAGAGCACTAGAGAGACATTTTGTACCTCTTAGTAACGATTCTGTTACTAGGTGGTACCCTAGCAGCGGCACTGTTGTAGGAGGGCATGGCCATCTTCTTCTGTAAAGATTTACAACCTTGGAAGCCATGGGGCAGGTCTACTCCTCTATAGGCTCACTATGAGTTAGAATCAACTTGGCAGCAGTGGGTTTGGGGTAGATTAATACTCCTGGAAAAATGAGTCCCGGTGACGCACTTGTTCAGCATTGAGCTGCTAACTGAAAAGTCAGCAGTTTGAACCCACCAGCAACCTTGGAGAAAAAGATGTGACCATCTGCTTCCATAAAGGTTTATAGAGTTGGAAACCCTAAGGGGCAGTGTACTCTGCCCTCTAGGGTCAGAATCGACTCTGACTCTATGGCAACAGGTTATTTTAATCAAACTTATTTACATAAACATACACCTAATTCCAGTATACTTTCTGGGTATTTTGCATTCAGAACCATCTCATAACGTTTTCACCATAATGCCAGTGAGCAGAAATTCAAAAGAAAATCTGTCTGCAGTGGTGAAGCAGCTAGAGTAACTACATTCAATTAAACCTCTTCAAGTGGGCTTTATGTACAAACAGCATTTGTTTGAAATTCACTTTTCAGAAACAGCTTCATGAGTTGGCCTTCACTGAGCCATTAGTCACTTTCCAAGGAGAGACAGAAAGCAGACTCAAGGTGGCCTCACCAAAAAGCCCCGCTGCACTCAACGACAGTGTGGTGGAGTGTCCCAAGTGCAACATACAGTATCCGGCCGCGGAACATCGAGATCTACTTGCTCATGTGGAATACTGTTCAAAGTAGCAAAATGGTTATTCTGTGTTTGTGGCAAAAAGTTCAGTACTGTATTTTATGTTATCTTTTGGACATTTGGAACTGCTTATTTCTCCCCTTGTATAAGAAACTGCTATCAGCTTTTAAGACCCAGGCACGTGAATGCATCATTGTAATTTAGGTTTGGCTGCTTTGCATTTTCCTTGGCCAGTGATGATTCATCATCAGGCTTCAAGCAAACTGACAGCGCGTGGTGGGGAACGGTGTTTGCAGAGACTACTAACTTTGCACTGATAAGTACTTGATGGACAAAAGATAGTTCAGGTCATTGCTTGTGTGATGTCTTTCTTGCACCTGCAAGCAAATATTTTGTTCTGTGACCTATTTAATATACTTTGAGTTAAAAAAAAAAAAAAAATCTAAGATCATTAACCAAGGATCTTACTGTGTTAAATTTTGATATCCATTGTTAAAAAATGGTGACACTTTTTTCATTTTTCTTTCCTTGCGGTTATAGAGCAGTTATTAGAAACATTGGGAATTTTCTTGGTCTTTATTGCTGCTTCCTGTGGGAATTGTAAAACAAACTGTGTTCCAAGCACAAAGCAGGTTCTGCTGAAGGGATGTGTGTAAGGTGCCACACACAGTGTTTGCTCTCATGTTAACTGGCTGTAGCGTTAATTCCAATTTCTTTAGCACACGGTGGTTAGCTAAACTGTTCAAATGAATTTTAACAAAACCAGCTAGCCCTCTCATTTGATTGATAGGTATTTTATTTATTTTGGGCACTTTTAAAGCAGGGCAAAATAACGATCCGATAATTGTTTATCTGAACAGATATTTTTATACATGCTTTGGGTAAGCAAGTTAAAAATGTTTTGAGTTTTTCTATGAGCTACTGTTAGTAATATAAAAGAGAGAACAATAAAATTATTTAATAGTTTTAGTATGTCTAGTGTGTATATGTGTAAACATGTTGTTGTTGTTGTTAAGTGCCGTCGAGTCGATTTCGACCCATAGCGACCCTGAACAGGGTTTCCGAGGCTGTAAATCTTTACGGGAGCAGAACACCTCATCTGTCTCCCGCAGAGCAGCTGGTAGTTTCGAACTGCTGACCTTGCGGTTCGCAGTCTGATTCATAACCACTATGCTACCAGAGCCCTCTAAAATTTCTATCCCAAAAAGTATGTTGGGTTTGCTGATAAACATGTCTTATAAGATAAAAAGGTAGTTAAGCATACCTAGGAGCCAGAAACCACCTAAAGAAATAGAGGCTTTCAGCCACCTTTGTTGAACAGATCAAATTTGTTTGTAAGCATGATTCGGAGTTATCTGTAACAAAGACAAAAAAAAAAAGCATGCTATAGAGAGATTTATTTCAAAGAAATGGTTCACATAATTGTGGAAGCTGGCAGGTCCCAAATTCATGGGTCGGGTGGCAGGCTTGAGGCTTTTCCTTATTCACAGGTTTGCAGGAGCCGATGAATCCACAATCTGCAGGTCAGGCAGTAGGCTGACATCCTAACAACCTGACAGAGGTCAGATGATGTAAAACAAATGGAAAATTGAGACAGAGCTTTGCCAGAGCGTCCATTTAAAGTGGGGATGCAGGCCACACCCCCAAAGAAACTCTTCTTCCAATGATTGGATGTTCACATCAGGTCACAAATTGGGAGGTGTAACAGTGTCTGCCAAACCACTGAGAACCACCTAAGCAAGTGCATACTTAGCATCAGCCATCACACCCTCCTTTCCAAAGTAGTCCTGCCATTAGCATAAACTCCTGACCTCAGAGTTTCCTATGTGATCTTACAAATTAGCATTATAAGTTTGACCCCACGCAGGTCAATCTTAAACAGCACAAGCTCAAGACAAACTTTTTTTTTTTTTTTTTTTTTACCAATTAAGTGAAACTATTGTTTTCTTTGAGGAAGATTTCAGGGAATACTTGTGGTTTAAGGTTTATAGATGATCTCAGTGTAATCGTTTGGCAGGTTCGTCCAGCCTCTATGGCACCAGAAAGCCTGGATTTTGAGAATTTGGGAGTTTGTTTTGTATTTTCCCACTTTTGATAGACTCTTGTTATTCGCTATACAACTTTTAAGCAAGCCAAGTGTTGTCTCTAGTTTACAGATGTGGGAAATGCCTTGGCCACTCCATGCGTAGTGGAGTCAGAACCAGAACCCAGATCTGACTTGTGTTAGGCCATGTGACTTCAGGGAATAACTGGCTAGGACATGAAACAGACACTCTAGCCTGATGACCACTAATCGTGGCCCCTGGAGACACAGGGTGACCTGGAATCTCTATCCCAAGGGCCTTGCTTTATTCTCAATTTTGCTGGAGGATCTGAAGCTGCCAACATCTCGGCACCAATATACAAATTTTTCTTTGGAAAACTGTCAAGAAAATTAGGCATTTCTCCTATACAACTCCATATATTTCTGATTAATAGAGGACTTAGAGCAGAAGAATTGTTTCCTAGATCACGTTACTGAACAATAAGGGATCCAAGGTTCTGATAATTAACCTCTTTTCATCCTTGTGTATCTTCTTGGCAGATATCCTACCCTTAAGGGATTTTTGGTTCTGGGTGAATATAAACTATGTACCAGGAACTGAGTAATCTACTTAATCTCATTGCTCTTCACTGCATTTCTTTGAAGTAAGCTCTAGTACCAGCACAATTTTTCAGAAGAGAAAACTAAAGCTTACTGAGATCAAATGATTTGCCCAAGATCACCACTAATAAATGGTAAAGAAATGAGAAATATCAGCAAGACATCCAGGGAACCACTCCTATCTGCCTATCAAGTGGTGGTTTGGTACTCAAGCAAGAGTGAAAGGTCAGGACTGAGCTAGGGTCTTACATACAGTGATTGTTAGAATCTGGAGCCACAGTGAAGACAAAAGTGTCCTGGGGTCAGAAGTGGATAGGGGCACTCAGAATCAAAGAAGCAAATAGAGAAAGAAGGAATGGCATGCACCAAAGGGTGAGTTAGCATCTGATACTAGGAGTCCTAAGGAGCTCTGGTAACGCAGTGGTTACCATTTGGGCTATGAACCTTAAAGTCAGCAGTTGGAAACTACCAGCGGTTTCGCAGGAGAAAGATGAGGCTTTCTGCTCCCGTAAAGATTTACAGCCTCGGAAACCCTGTACAGGATCACTATGAACTGGAACCAACTCCACAGCACGCCACCACTAGAAGTCCTGGTAATGGGTAAGCACTCCACCTCAAGGTTGGTTTGGACTTCAAGGTCGGTGGTTCAAACTCACCAACCGCTTCTCAGAAACCCTATACAGGATTGCTATGAGTCAGAACCAACTCAATGGCACTTAACAACAACAATAGACTTCACATAAGGAACCCTGGTGGTGCGATGGTTAAGTGCTATCTGCCGACCAAAAGGTCAGTGGTTTGAACCCACTAGCAGCTCCATAGGAGAAAAGACTTGTCAATCTGCCCCAGTAAAGAGTCCAGCCTAGGAAGCCCCCTGGAGTAGTTGTGCTCTGCCCTACAGGTTTGCTGGGATCTGGAATGGACTCTATAGCATACAGCAACAGCCTTCATGGGAGCACGAAGGGTTCAGTGGGAGAACCCTTGGAGACCTGTGTTCAGTTCCTGGTCAATGTAGCTCAAGCCCAGTCACTCCCTGCCTACCACTGGAGGCCTGCGTGTTCTAAGACAGACTAGCCAGGAAGTCCTGCTGCGTTACTTTTTGAAATATCAGCCCATGGAAACCTTATGGATCACAACGGTCTGACCCCATGTGCATGAGGTCTCCATGAGTTGAGGCCAACAAAAGCCTTCACAGGACCAGTACACCTTCCACTAGTAAGTTTTTACAGGTATTCCAAGTTAAGTTTCCTGACGAAATCACATCCACTTCAGAGTATGTATCATCAGTTGGGATGCATGTGAAAGTTGGACAGTGACTAAGGTAGACCATAAATGAATTGATGCATTTGAATTATGGTGTTGGAGAAGTACCCTGGACTTCCAGAGGAACAAAGGAAAATTATGGTGTTAGAAGTACAGTCAGAATGCTCCTTAGAAGCCTGAGACTTCGTCTTTCCTACTTTGGACTTATTAGCAGGAGAGTCCAGTCCCTGGACAAGGACATTATGCTTGGTAAAGTGGAGGGTTGGCAAAAAAGATGAATCCCCCCAAGGAGATGGATTGACACGGTGACAGCAGCACTGGGTTCAGACGTACCAAGTCTGAGGCTGGCACAGGACGGGGCAGTGCTCCCTTCTGTTGTGCACAGGGTTGCTATGAGTTGGAATGGACTCTACGGCACCTAACAACAAGCGTCAGCAATCAGTTAGCCCAGCAGCAGTGAGCAAGGTGTCATGCAAGTGCTACAGGTGGAGAGAAGAGTCAATCAGCCTTTGTGTAGCCGAGCCACGGCAGGGCAGACGTCTGACCAATCAGAGATAGTGCAATGAGGAAGTACCCAGGAGAAGTCTTCCCAAGGTCATGGGAGGAAAGGCTTTCTGAAGGAGGTGAGGACTGGGTTAGGCTTAGGAAAACAAATATTTACGTTTTTTTAATAGTGTTTGTTCCTGGACTTGTGTTAAAAGTGAATTATTAAGAAGAACTTAAAGTGAAAATATGGTTGCTCACGGACTTATATTAAAAGTGAGTCGTTAAGTGCCCAATAACCATGACAGAATGTTTTGTTCAAAGATGTTATAGAAGAATCCTAATCAACAGGGGAAAACATGGAACAGAATTTTAAATTCTCTTGGAATCCAGACTTTCTGGAGTCATTGAGGATGGCTCTAGAATAGTTTCAGAAGAACTTCTGAAACTATTGCTCTGAGAGTCTTTCAAAGTTAAACAAAAATATTGCCTGAAACCACCTTTAAACTAAACAATTAGTAAATTAGTAAAGAGTGTCTGCCTTGACCATTGTATTCTTTTAAATAACTTTCTATGTGGGATCAAATTGACACCAGCAACTGGGAAGGTCAGGAAGGAAACTTAGGGGTCAGTGAGTTTTTGTTAATGGGTGGTGACTGTGTG